GATTGTCTTGGTTTCTTCTTCATTCCTGCAGGATATTTTGATAGACACAGACTTTTTTTTTGCTAGATATAAATATTTATTTCAGCTCTTGAAAATATTGTGCCACTTCCTTCTGACTTCTATGGTTTCTGAAGAGAAATTCACTGTCATTTGAGTCATTTCCCCAGTAAGTAATGTATCACTTTTCTCTTGCTGCTTTTAAGAACTTTTTCTTTCTCTTTAGTGACTAGAAGTTTGACTAGATGTGTCTTGGTGTGAATTTCTTTGGAATTTTCCTGTTTGGGGTTGCTCAGCTTGTTGAATCTGTAAATTTATATCTTGTGCCAAATTTGGGAGATTTTTGGTCACTATTTCTTTGAGGAGGTTTTCAGCCCCACTCCTCTCCTTCTATGACAAGTGACTCCCATGACATAAATGTTAGATCTTTTGTTATAGTTCCATAAGTCCCTGAGCATCTCTTCTTTTTTTCTCAGTGTATTTTCTTTCTGTTGTTCAGATTAATTTCTATTGCTCTGTCTTCAAGTGTCTATTCTTCCTCTGTCCCTTCTATTGTGTTTAAGCCCATCTATTGAGTTTTTCAATTCACTCGTATTTTTCCACTCAAATATTTGTTTGTTTCTTCTTTATATCTTCCATTTCTTTGCTAAGACTTTCTGTTTTTTTTTTCATTTGTTTCATGTATGTTTGTGTTCCTTATTAAATGATTTTTATGATGACTGCTTTAAAGTCATTGTCAGATAATTTTAGTATCTACGTCAACTCATTTTTGGGATTCATTGATAATTTTTTCTCATTCAAGTTGAGATTTTCCTGGTTCTTGGTATGACAAGTGATTCTTTAATGAAAACGAGAGATTTCGTGTATTATCCTATAAGACTCTGGATCTTATTTAAATCTGTTTTAGCAAGAGTCCTCTAACACTGTGTCAGCAGAGGAAAGAAGATACCACCTTCTTACAGTCAGGTTGGGGTGAAAGTCCAGGTTTCCTACTCTGCCTCTTTTGATACCTCAGGGTGAGAAGGCGTACCTCATTACTAGTACGCAGATAATAGGGTTCCAGGCTCCCACTGACAGTGGGAGCAGGAAGACCTCGTTACTGTCAGGCAGGGATAAAAGTCCTGGCTCGCTACCTGTTCTTCTCTAAAACCATTCCAGTCAGGAAAGAGGGAGCAGGATTGGGGCACCTTGTTACAGCCTGGTGAGGGCATAAGTCTAAGCTCCCCACTCAACCTTTACTGTCATGGATGGGGGCAGAATCACAGTTTTTTCTGTAATCTTAGTTTGTAGTCTTAGGTTATTGTATAAATGTTTTTTTTTTTTTTTTTTTTTGTCTTACTATACTGTCCCTTTTCTGGTACTTTGGTTAAAAGAGAGCAGGCTTTTGTTGGGGATTGTGTTTTTATTGTTTTAATTTTTTTTTGTTTTTGGCTATGCCCTTTGGTATTTCTGTTTGTTGGCTTCTCCAGCATCCAAGGAACTCACCCCATATTGTTCCTTGGGTTCTGAGTTCCTTAGATAGTCTGCCTCTCTCTACATTTTAGAGTCTTCTTATGTTTGTTTTATATGTAACGTTCAGAGTTTTCAGTTATACTTAGCAGGGGGAAACAGGAGAAGTAAGTCTACTCCTCCCATCTGGAAGTAGGAGTGCCCATTTTTTACCTTGTTCTCTCATTTAAAAAAGACTACAGGAGAAACTATGAATCTATTCTAGTTGGTTTTTATAAAAGGAAAGAGAAAGAGACAGGAAATAATTTATAATCCTCAACTCTTTAACTGTAATTAGTGAGTGACAAATAGCTTGTAACACCCAGAGCATCTTGAACATGAGATTGTGAAAGGAGGATGCTGGCACAGTGATTTCATTTCAATACCTGCAGCGATCAATCCCCTTCTGCCTTTTAAAGATGCTTCCAGCCTTCCTTCTTACCCATGCCTACATCATTCCTGGTTGTTGACAGTCTTATGGGTGTACCTATAGAAACTTGGTAACTGGTCTCTCCTGTCCTCTGAGTATGGGCACAAAGGACAGGCCAGGAAGTCCAGGCCCAGGGCAGTCTTCCTGGCCTTGCCCCTGGGGCTGCTGCCTATGGACTTGTACCTACAGAAGCTTTGGCCCTTGGGATCATCCCTCCTATCCCTCTACAGCCTGTCTTTTAATTCCCAGCTTCCCTGCAGGACAACCCCCTCCATACTACCCACTCCCTAAAGGCTCAGAGAAGCACATTCCACACTCCTTCTTGGGGCCGAGGCCAATGAAATGGTGGCAGCTATTCAAGAATGCAGGTTGTGTATGTGTGTGTATTGGGGGAGGGCCTGCCTGCCTCGTTGGCCTGGAGCTGGGGGTGGGGGATCCCCCAAAGGGACATAGGTTTTAAGGCTGCTGGGAGAGCTGGGGGCTGAGGCCAAAGAGAGGGCAGCAGCATGTGACATCTCTACCCTAGAGTCTTTGGCTACTTCAATCCTGGCATTACTGAGGTCACTGCCAGTCACTCTTTTGAAGATGTCTGAGAAATGCCTCTTGGAACCAACCCTCCCATAGGGCCTGGTTAACTAGGCTCTTTGGAACCAGCTTCTTGCCTGTATCCTCAATTTTTCCACTTGCAAAATGGGGCAATATTCTAGCAGCTTTTATGTTCTAGTTTCAGGGGCTTCTTCAGAGGCCCTGTAGATTCTCTTCTGGCACATCCCCAAATCCCAAATGGTCCTGATGTCCCCTTCACTGGGTAAGTAACTAATATTGTGACTATCCTGAAAGACTAGCTGTTGTTGGTTTTTTAAATGCAGATTTGAATCTGCCATAGAAAATATACTTTTTAAAAACCCAAACACCACACCACACATTTTTGCATGCCTTGAATTTTGAACCTGCCCACGGACCACTTAAAGGCCCCACAGACCACCACCAATATTTCCTGGACCACCCCTGAAGAACCACTATCCCAAAGGAGGTCTGCGAATGGGCTTTAGAGACTTAAATTGGGCCTGGGGAGATGGTTGGGGAGGGAGTTGTCCTGGGCCAAGGAAGTAAGTCAGGATGGCGAGAAGCAGAACTCTGGTAGGGGGTGGGGCAACAGCCTTCAAGTCTGCTCAGATAACCCTGCTGGAAAATGGGCTGGGTAGCCCTGAATGGCACTCAGATCCTGGGTGGAATAAGGCAACAACAGAGATGAAGGCACCAGGCTAGTCTGTTCGAGGGATGGATTTCTTTAAAAGGGGGAAACCTCGAGTGAAGAGCGCAACTCTTCTGCCAGTTGCCTACGGGACAAACAGATAACCCAAAAATCAGAGCTATGGAGGAAACTCAGAAAAGACCTGAGTGCAAGAATTCCTCATTCTTGAAGGAAAGTCCAGGCCCCCTAGAGGGGCACCATTCATCCATCCATTCATTTGTTCACCAATAATTCATCTGCCTACTATGTGCCGGGCCCTGGACTAGATGCACATGGATGCCCTCAAGGCACTCCTAATCTAGTGAGGAAGACAGGAAATCAATTACGATACAGTTTGGTTAGAGAGCTATGGGAGCTCAGTGGAGAAGACTCAACCCAGATGTGGGGTCAGGGAGGCTTCCTGGAGAAGGTGATATCTAAACTTGGAACTCAAAAGTGAGATGGTATTTTCTAGGGGAAGATGGAGCCAGAAAGGAACAGTAGTCTCTGTAGAGGGATCAGCATGTATAAGTTCTGTAGACTAACCTTCTGGTATTATTGGGCCTCGCAGGATTTGTCATGCCTTTTCCTTAGGCCTTTGGGTTATCTCATGCTAAGATGCTAAGGATCCTACCTGCCCCTGAGTGAACCTCAACCAACAGTAGGATGCAACAGCATTGGGCCCAGGGAGTTCTGGGTGCAGAGGAGGCAGAGGCTCAGAGAAAGCAGTACCAAAGTATACGGGGAACCTACCATGATGACCCTTGGCTGGGGGAGGATGTAGTTCAGAGGAAGTGACAGTGTCTGCCCAGGGCCAGGAACTGCTACTGGCATGATGCTTTACAATGTGCTTCCACTACCATTATTAGTGAGGCCTACAGTGGTTCCAGATGGTGCACTTAATCAGGAATTACCAGAGGTGGGCATGGAGGAGCACCATGATATGGACAATGCCCTACTGAAGGTTCCTCAGAGGAAAGTGGTGAGGCAGGGCTTGCCCCAGGCCTGCCTCCTCCTTTCACTGGAAGATGTGTTTTATGTAGTCAAGGAGCTCAGGGTGGGAACTGGGCATTCTATGGCCATGAGGCTACAAGGAAGAACATTTTTGGCTGCCTCTGGAAGCTACAAGGAACACATTTAACCCCCTCACACTACACCTGGAAGAGGAAGGCCCAGAGAGCAAAAAGATTTTATCCAAGGTCCAGTGGCAAACTCAGAGCCGGGGCTGAAAGTGTGTGCTCTGGGTTCTCTCTGCTGGGGCGGCTTGCTCTGGGCTACAGGTGGAGGCAAGAGCAGATGTAGCCTAGGCAGCAGCATGGAACAAAGCTTCAGTTCAATTCCTGGCTTGGCCATGCCCTTACTGTGTGACCTCGAGTCTCAGTTTCCTATTATGAAAAATGGGATAATAAATAGAGCTCACATCCTAGGGCTAGGAGGTTCAAAAAAGCCAACAAACAGGAGCTAGGTCAAGGAAGAGAGTGATGGGTGGGAGACTGGCCAGAACTATGGGAGCTGGGCCTGGTAGGTATGGTAGCTCCTCACAGGGTACCACCTGTGTCTTCTGATCTCCCTCAGAGAAGCCACAGCTTCCCTTCAGGCCTTTTTAGCAGCTCTCTTGAGACTCACACCTGTCCTTAATTTTTCTGACTGGCCCTCAGCCCCAGGCATGGGAACTCATTTCTTCCAGGTGTGAATGGATGGTAATTGTTCTAGTTAAGCCACCAGAGTTCAATCAGCCAACAGTTACTGAGTGCTTAACTAGAACAATTACTATCCATTCACGGGGCCTCCACAGTGGACCAGGCATGGAGGTGAATGCTGTATATTTACCTCCTGGGTTGATCCTCACAGGATTACTATGAAGAAGGACACTGTGGAGTGGTGGCTGTGGACACAGATTCTAGAGCCAGACATTCAATCGCAGCCTCAACCACTTCCTAGCTGGGTCACCTTGGACAAAGCGACTTCACATCTCTGTGCCTCAGTGTTCCTGTCTGCACAATGGAATATTAGTTGTAATTACCTCAGAGGGCTGTTGGAGGCTTAATCCAAGTCAAGCAATTCGGTAAGTACTCAATAAGTGGAGCCATTATTCTTGCCATTTCATAGATATGAAAACACTGGTTCAAAAAGGGGCTGGGTGAGCTGCCGTGGGGACCAGAACCCTCAGGAGTTTCTGCTGCACCGTACTCAGGCTAGGGTGAGAGCTGGTATCATTTTCTGCCTCCAGGGAAATGGATATCAGCTTCCTGGCCTTTTGCTAGAGGTGGAGCCCTGATTTGAACTCTAGCAGGTAAGCCTTCCTCTGACCAGCTCCTTCCTCTTGTCCCCGTCTCCCTAGTTCCCACCAGGGGTCTTATTCTCTCAACCCATTTAGAATTGGTGCTACTGGCCTGACATAAAATGTCACTTCTGCTCGAAGACTTCCACTTATTCTCCCAGCCTTGCCTGCTGATCGCACCTTAAGAAATATCATTCAGTTGGCTGATACCCTCCTCTGGAGGCAGCCCTCAGCCACATGCAGTTTCAACTCTCTCCCCTGTCCCGTTGGCTGGAGCCATTTCATCCCCAGCATGATTTGGGGACTGGCCCACTGAACTGGTGATATCGTCCTCTCTCTTCCTTATATTCTCTAGGTCTGAAATATCTTTTCAATCCTTCCTAGCTAAGTTTCCTTCTCCCATCTTCTACACCCTCTTTGGTGAAGCTCAGGTAGCCCAGAGGACTGAGGGGATCAGAAAATGGGGTTATTTCAAGGGCATCAGCATCGGTTGGCAGGGACCAGCCCCCACTGTCAAAATCTGTCCCACCAAGGGCTTCGTTGGCATTTGTGTCTTGCCCTCTGTTTCTGGGGTGATTCATCTTAGAATGTGGGCTCCCTGAAGACTGGGGCTCAACTGCTCCCAGGAGACTCCCAGAGGGACAGTGCTGCTGTTGTGGTTGGAAGCTGTGGCAATCTGGTCCCAGCTGCTGGGAATGACAGAGCCCAGTCTCTATGTCCTTTGGTTGCTTAGGTGTGTGCCCGCTGGAGGTCAGGGGTGTGGAGTATTCAACATATTCAATGTTTCATCAGCCAGATCATCAGAACATATGATTATGTATGATAACATTTGATACCATGGAAACAGGTCTAGACAGGGAGTCAGGCAGACCTCATTAAGACTCACTCCCTAACTTAGTTGGTCACATTATTGGGCATTTATGAGCCTTGACATGATATCAAGTACACGAAGCATTGTGCCTGGCACATAGTAAATGCTCAATACATTGGGCTACTATTATTCTCCCCTGCTTCTATTTCCCCTCACTACCACTACCCCTCCAGCCCAGCCCAGGTGCAAGTTCCCTCAGAGCAGCCTGGGTGCCCCCGTACACGACAAAGCAGAGGGGCTGGAGGGAGTCTGCTCAGAGGAAGCTGGACTAGGACTATGGGCTTTCTGGTCACTCCAGACTCCTCTCTGTGCTCTTTCATAGGCCTAGGGGCCGGGTTCACAGAGCTCAGGCTAGTCGGAACACTAGGGTCAGGGGCTAAGGCTTTGGCACAAGGGGTCATTGGTGCTAAGAGCAGGAAGGGCACGGCCTGGGGTCCGGACACCTGGCTGCCAGTCCCAGATTTGCTAAGGACTCCATGTGCCCTTGGCTGAGTCCCTGGTCCTGTCTATGACGTGGCAATGAGGCTGGAGGTGGCTATACCAATGGTCGCAGAGGTGCCTCCCAGCTTGGCCACTTCATGGGTATAAGAATATATAAGAGAGGTAGCCGAGAGAGCAGAAGTCTCCATATTTGACACTCCAGCAGGGGGCAATGCAGCCAGAGCCCAGCCCCAGGCTCTCTAGGGAACAAGTTACCACAGCGACCTTGCAGGTGGGGCAAGTGTTGAGCAGGAAGCCATCCTGCTGGCTGGCATATCAGAGTGGGAGCCAGGGGCAATCAGTGACAAATCACTCTCTTGTGTCTCCATCCAGAACAGTTTCCCCTTGGCAGGAGAGAGAGTCAACAAAGAAGGGCCGGGGTAGCCCCAAGCCTGCATAGGCTGCCAGAGCTAGGCAGTGCTCCTGGGGGCCCTGGTGAGCCTAGGTATATTCTGGGTAGCTACACAGGCCCCTTGCCTCTGCCACTGCCCTTCTTCTTTCCAACAGCTGACCTGGACTGTAAGGGCAATCCACACTGGAATCCCACCTCCTGATCTCTGGGCCAGGCCTGGGGATAACAGAGTCCACCCTTTGCCTCTCTCCCTTGGAGGACCCCTCCAGCCAAGGTCTGAAACTGGCTTTTTCTGACATTTCTGGGCCTGCCTGACTCCAATCCAGGACGACTATCCCAGATCTGGCTTGGTCTACTGTTTGCCTTGCTTTCTCTGGGCCTCAGCTTCTGTATCAATAACCTGAGGGAGGGTGGTCTTGGTGAATTCCAAGGACCCTTCCAATTGTGAAAATCTAGGAGTTGGAGATGATATTCAAGGTTTTGGCTTTTTTTTGCCCAGGTCCCAGAAAAACGCTGATTCTGAGCGGCTGTCCCACCCCTCGAATTCTGGGCTGAGCGGTCCACTGCCTGTAGTGGCCTCCCTCTGTTACACGAAGCTCTCCTCATCCATGCAAATTCAAACCTTCTCCTATCTTTCCTAGAAATGCCTTCATTTCTGGGGGAGCCTGTACCACTTAAGTGTGTATGTGTGTGTGCACACTCACGCACATCTCTACTTCTACATGTATCCATAGCTGTACGTAGAGAGGGAAAGTTGCTTCTTTACCCCTCCCCTCCTACAAGGTTTACCCAAAGCAGATGGAAGCACATTCCTGGGACTGAAACCTACAGCCATCAGGCCGACTTCACATGGGACTTAGTCGTTCTTAGTCTTAGTTTCCCCACCTGTAAAAGTCCTCACTCCATATGGTTGTATAACGCTTCATTCATTCATTCATTCATTCATTCAATATGTACGAAACATTTTCTCTGGGGCAGGCACAATTCTAAGCGCTGGAACTAAATGAGATAATAATGTAAAGTGCTAATTCCTACACCAGCCTGGGGCAAGAGCCTAAGCAATGGGAATTTTTTCTCCTTTATCCATGTAGTAATAGCTAACAACTACGGATCACCTACTATTGTGCAATGCACTGCCATATACATTCTTCACAACAACCCTTTGATACGGGCATTATCATGATCACCTCCATATTACATATGAGAGAATGGAGGCGCACAAAGCTGAAGTTATTGGTTCAAGGTTACACAGCTAATAAATGGCAGTCCAGCTCCAAGTCCATGCTCCTCCCCTCTCTGACTAAAGCTCACACTTTTTTCTGCAAATAGAGCCGAGCTCAGTCTCACAGCCACAAGAGAAATACACACACATGACACACACACATTGATGCTACAAATACTAGTGCTCACAGTCAAGTGGCTCAGGCCAAGTACCAGCCCCCACAAACATGAAAGAGCACATTCTCTACATGTTTGCTGTGCCTCATCCTCGCCAGATCCCACATGCATACCCCCTCCCTCACATGGCTCTGGCCAGCCCTACTGGACACATGAGTAAGCATGTGCATGCACACAGACACGGTCTCACACACAGAACTTTCCTCTGCTTCATGGCCAGGACTAGGGAGAAGAGAGGAGAATGGATTTTATCTGCAGTTTGAAGTGGTGTAGTGGCTTCAACCTAGGTAGGCAAGGTCAGCAGGCAGGGAGAGAGGAGGCTGAGGGGGATTGCCTTGACCTAGACAAAGGGCCAGGAAGGAAGGCAGCAGCAGGAAAAGGCTCAGTAGAAAGAGGAGGGGAAACCCAGTATCTTGATAAACCATGCAAGGTCAGAGAGGGGGATGCAGGGATTGGACTTGCAAGAAATTTCTCAAGCCATAAATTTTCATTGGCTGCCTGGAGCCTGGAGCCTGGAGCCTGGAGCCTGGAGGCCAGAGGCCACAGGCCACAGGCCAGAAACCTGAGCAACTCCTGAGAAAGCCAATCTCAGTGGTAGGTCAGGGCCCAGGCCTTCGGCAGGGGAGGCAGCAGGGCTGCTGACTTTCCTGATTCCAACCCTATGCCCCAGCTTCCGTCTTTAGATGATCCTGGAGTACAGGCTCCATGTGTGGTTCTGCATGTGTCTGCAGACGCAGATGCTCATAGGTCTGTGTCTCTGTGTGTGTGGTGCATGTGTGGTGGCACAGCGGACGGGTTTAAGAACACAAGCTTCAAAGTCAGGTGGAACCAGTATCCAAGCCTGACTCCACAGCTTAAGGGCTGTATGACCATGGGCATGTAAGTTACCCTCTCTGTTTCCTCATCTATAAATGGAGATCAGTGTAGCTCCCTCATAGGATTGTAAGCATGAACTGACAGAATGCATGTGATGCGCTGAGTGCAGAGCCTGACACATAGTAGTGCTCAATAACTTTAAGGATTATTATTATGTTGGAACCACCAACTCAAGAGCCTCCCAAATTCAGGGCCAGGGGTCATGGATCCTCAGCTCTAAATGAATGTGGCTACAACCCCAAAATGTTATCCATGGTCTTATGTCTCCATCAGTGGGCTGTGCCCTTCCTATACTCACCCACCCAGGAGCCCAAGGGCCCAATTTGGAGCCCAAGAGCTCACCTCAGGTAGCAGACACGTAACATGCATTTACACACTTGCAAAAAGCACTCATGCGTCCATACGTGCCTGCACATACCCGTACCCACACATGCACTCATACAGCATGTACTTGTATGGTGCATGTACATGTTCATGCATGATTGCATGTGTGGGTACAAGTGCCCACACATGCCCTTGGAAACACATGTATTAGCTAGAACATACATATTTATTTGTAAGTGTAAGGTAACCTGGACAGTGCTATGCAAACATTACTACTAGTCCTGTCAAGTCTGCCTCCAAAATAACTCCCAAATCCATCTCCCTGGTTCCCATTCCACTGCCACCATTCTAACTCAAGCCACCAACAGGTCTCATCTGGACCTCTGCAATGACCACCTCACTGGGTGCCGTTTCCACTTCTGCCACCCTACAGACCACTGTCTACACTGCTTTTAACAGTATCTCATGAACAAGATCCCTCACACACTTAAACCTTTTGGTGGTTTCTATTGCTTCTAGTTTCCTTCTGTTTCAGGAGGTGTTTGGCATGGGGATCAAGCTCTGCAGCCAGACTGCCTGGGTCTCTGTGTCTGCACCTACTGTAACCTTGCACCATGACCTTGGGAAGGTCATTTTACTTCTCTGAGCCTCAGTATTCTCATCTGAGAATAATAGACCTTATTTTCAGGATGGTCAAGAAAATTAAATGAG